GAGACAGAAAGAGAGAGAGATGGAGACAGAGAGGAGACAGAAAGAGAGAGAGATGGAGACAGAGAGGAGACAGAAAGAGAGAGAGATGGAGACAGAGAGGAGACAGAAAGAGAGAGAGATGGAGACAGAGAGGAGACAGAAAGAGAGAGAGATGGAGACAGAGAGGAGACAGAAAGAGAGAGAGATGGAGACAGAGAGGAGACAGAAAGAGAGAGACAGAGAGAGAGACGGAGACAGAAAGAGAGAGATGGAGACAGAAAGAGAGAGAGATGGAGACAGAGAGGAGACAGAAAGAGAGAGACAGAGAGGAGACAGAGAGAGACAGAGAGGGAGACAGAGACGGAGACAGAAAGAGAGAGAGATGGAGACAGAGAGGAGACAGAAAGAGAGAGAGATGGAGACAGAGAGGAGACAGAAAGAGAGAGACAGAGAGAGAGACGGAGACAGAAAGAGAGAGATGGAGACAGGAGACAGAAAGAGAGAGAGATGGAGACAGAGAGGAGACAGAAAGAGAGAGAGATGGTGACAGAGAGGAGACAGAAAGAGAGAGACAGAGAGGAGACAGAAAGAGAGAGACAGAGAGGGTGACAGAGAGGAGACAGAAAGAGAGAGAGATGGAGACAGAGAGGAGACAGAAAGAGAGAGACAGGAGACAGAAAGAGAGAGACAGAGAGGGAGACAGAGACGGAGACAGAAAGAGAGAGAGATGGAGACAGAAAGAGAGAGAGATGGAGACAGAAAGAGAGAGAGATGGAGACAGAAAGAGAGAGAGATGGAGACAGAGAGGAGACAGAAAGAGAGAGACAGAGAGGAGACAGAAAGAGAGAGACAGAGAGGGAGACGGAGACAGAAAGAGAGAGAGATGGAGACAGAAAGAGAGAGATGGAGACAGAAAGAGAGAGAGATGGAGACAGAGAGGAGACAGAAAGAGAGAGACAGAGAGGGAGACAGAAAGAGAGAGAGATGGAGACAGAGAGGAGACAGAAAGAGAGAGAGATGGCGACAGAGAGGAGACAGAAAGAGAGAGACAGAGAGGGAGACAGAGAGGAGACAGAAAGAGAGACAGAGAGGGAGACAGAGAGGAGACAGAAAGAGAGAGACAGAGAGGAGACAGAGAGGAGACAGAAAGAGAGAGACAGAGAGGGAGACAGAGAGGAGACAGAAAGAGAGAGAGGAGACAGAAAGAGAGAGAGATGGAGACAGAGAGAGACAGAGAGGGTGACAGAGAGGAGACAGAAAGAGAGAGACAGAGAGGGAGACAGAGAGAGACAGAGAGGAGACAGAAAGAGAGAGACAGAGAGGGAGACAGAGAGGGAGACAGAGAGGAGACAGCGAGAGACAGGGAAACAGAGAAGGAGACAGAAAGAGAGAGAGATGGAGACAGAGACAGAATCGAAGACAGAGAGGGAGAAGGAGACAGAGACAGAGAGGGAGACAGAGATGGAGACAGTGACAGAGACAGAGACGAAGACAGTGACGGAGACAGAGATGGGGACAGAGACGGAGACAGTGACAGAGATGGAGACAGAGACGGAGACAGTGACAGAGACAGAGACAGAGAGGGAGACAGAGACAGAGAGGGAGAGGGAGACAGAGACAGAGAGGGAGAGGGAGACAGAGACAGAGAGGGAGACAGAGACAGGGAGAGAGATGGAGACAGAGACAGAGAGGGAGACAGAGAGGGAGACAGAGACAGAGACGGAGAGAGACAGAGACAGAGATGGAGACAGACAGGAAGAGAGACAGAGACAGAGATGGTGATGGAGACAGAGACAGAGAGACATAGACAGAGAGGGACAAAGGAGAGAAAGAGAGACAATGTGTGCCCACAGGTCTGATGTCTTCTTCTTTTTTTTTGAGACAGAGTCTCTCTCTGTCACCAAGTCTGGAGTGCAGTGGGGCAATCTCAGCTCCCTGTGACCTCCATCTCCTGGGTTCAAGCTATTCTCCTACCTCAGCCTCTGGAGTAGCTGGGATTACTGGTGCCTGACACCATGCATGGCTAATTTTTGTATTTTTAGTAGAAGCAGGGTTTCTCCATGTTGGTTATGCTGGTCTCCAACTCCTGACCTCAAGTGATCTGCCCACCTTGACCTCCCAAAGTGCTGAGATTGCAGCCCTGAGCCACCACGCCAGGCCAGATGTTTTTATTTTTGAGTGATCTGACTGGAGAGGCCTCCACACCTCCCTGGCCCTCTCTTTCCGCCCCCATCACCCTCACAGGGCAAGGGGCAGGAAGGCCCACAACGTGTCCCAGAGGCTGCGGGGCACTGGCGAGCATGCGGGAGCCCAGCTTGCCTCCCCTGGTCTCGCGGCCTCCTTGGCTCCCAGCAGCAGGATCCATCAGGTTTCCCTGGCCAATCAGCCCTCCACGACGGATCTCCGAAGGGCCAATGAAAATCAGTGTATGGGGAGATTCAAACGGAAAAGGGAAAAAACAGGTTGCTGAGCAACCTAACTCCTAAGCAGAGGGAGATGCTATTTTTACACCAAGAAGGTGGCTGCATTTGATGCTGTAGCAACTCCCAGGAGGGCAGAGCTCTGCCTTAGCCAGGGTAGGAGCTCCTGACGGCCCAGGAATGAACCGCGGGACGCAGCACTGGGACAGCCCGGTGAGCGCGCATGGCTTCGGTCATGGTGCCAAGGCCCCAGGCACCACCCTTCAGGGCTCAGATTGAATGTGGCTTCTTTAGAAAGGATTCCACATTCATTCATTCCTTCGGAGGCCTGTGCTGCTTCTGCAGAGCACTCACCTGAATGTGTAATTATAAGCGTCTTTTTGTGAATTTTGCAAAGCATCCCTCTGCCCACTAGCCTGGAGGCCGAGGCAGGTAGGCACAGTGACAGGCTCCATTCCCCACGGTGTGTCCCAGCCCCCAGCTCATCCTCCGCCCAGCGGCTGTCAGTCAATACTTAGGGAACACATGAAAACAATGGCTGAGTATTAGTGTGATGGATCTGATCATTATTAAATGTCAACTCGAGTCACAGTGTGGAAAAGCGTGTTATGATCGCAGCAGTTTTTCTGTCAGTTGCTACGGGAAGTATCGTTGGACAGTGAAGTACCTAGGTTCCAGCAATTGCTGAGTGAGGATCATTCCCCAAATTAACCAGTATGTTTGCATTCCTACCACAAAAGTTGCTTGTCTCATTGTTATGCCAGAACCTCTTCTGGATGCTGGGGAATGATGCACAAATGAGCAAGGTCCCTGTCCCCACGGAATTCATGTCGCATCCCTGGGAAAGTCAAGTGAAGGCCGGAGGTGCCGGGAGGCCTTGATGTGGTCCCCGAAGGCCTTTTGATCAGATACCTTTTGAGAAGAGACCCAAAGAAGTGGGAGAGTGATCACACAGACATCTGCAGGAAGAAACTTCTGGAAACACAGAGACCTTGAGGCTACCATCGGGACAGCAGCATGTGGCTGTGTGAGGAAGGTGGTGGCTGGGGTGGAGCAGGGAGGAGGCAGCAGCCAGGTCCGGGGAGGCCCTGCAGAGACCCCAAGCCACATGGAAGCACAGAGAGGAATGGCCTGAGGCCTGAGTCCGGGCGTGGGCACCACCCAGTGTTTAGGGGTAGGGGAGCTTGGGATGGTCCCAGGGAAGAGAATGAGTCCAGAGGTGAGGTGCCCCCATGGTGTCGGATTCCCAGGAGGGAAGGGACAGCTGTGGCATACAGCTGAGGAGTGAGGATTGGATTTGACCACATGCTGATCTTGACAGGAGCTGTTTTGATGGTGGGATCACAGCAGGGGAGTGACGAGGAAGAGATCCTCAGTCTTCAGGTTTCTTGCTGTGCTCCATGCCCTGGAGTGGCCTGTTCATCTTGGAGTTCCAGTGTGAACTCTGAGACCTAAAGGGTGGTGCCTGGCACCTTGGCACCGTGGCCCGAGGCTGTGCTCCCTTGCCCAGCTATAGCAGGTGCTGCGTGGTGCCGTTCATTCCCAGGCAGTCAGGAGCTCCTATCCTGGCTAAGGCAGAGCTCTGCTGTCCTAGAAGTTGCTACAGAATCAACTGCAGCCACCTTCTCAGTGTAAAAACAGTGTGAACTTAGGTTATCACTGTGGGGGAGATGGACAGCAGCGGAGGGGGCTGCGCACAGCAGGAAGTAGACTGGACTCCCATTTCTAGCAGATGGCTAGAAATGGTAGAGCCTCCCCAGGGCAAGGTGGGAGGGGAGACAGAGGGGAGCCCTGGCCATGGTGTGGGAGGCGGCTTGTGCAGAGGCAGGGTGACAGGGACTAAGGGAGTGGCCGGCAGTGGACAGCATTTGGCGCTTGATGGTGGTAGAGCCGGCAGGTTCTACTCCAGGATGGGCATGAGGTGAGAGGCAAGAATTAAGAAAGACTTCAAGGTTTTAGCCTAAGCAGCTGGAGGAAAGTGCAGCATTTCTGCAAGTGAAGCCCTCCGGAAGCTATTCTGGGGATGTGCTATAAAGCCATTATCCTCTGTCTCACTGGGGGAGAAAGGCCACCCACAGGCACATCCTGAGCTCACCTACACTGTGTGCCATGATTCCTAAAGGACACGTCAGAACCCCAGGATAAACAGGTCACTCCAGGGCAGGAAGCAAAGCAAGAAGCCCAGAGGTGGGGTCTCGTCCTTGTCACTCCCCTGCTGTGATACCCCCAACAAAACAGCTCCTGTTGAGATCAGCACATGGTCAAATCCAATCCTGACTCCTCAGCAGTGGGCCACAGCTGTCCCTTCCCTTCCAGGGACTCCACTCCCTGGGGTGCGTAGAACTTGGGATGCTCTCATTCTCCTCCCTGAGGCCCTCCCTGTCTCCTCCACCCATAAACACTGGATAGTGCCCCTCCCAGACTCAGTCCTCAGGTCCTTTCTTCCCAATTCTTTTTCCCCATACGGCATCCCTCCCCAGGGGTCTCAGCCTCAAGTCTTCACAGACAATCCACACACAAGGGCCTCTTCAATGTCTGTGATCACTCAGAAACTCTCCTCTAAACTCTGCTTCTAAATCCCACTGCCAGGACCCTGGCCACATGGCCACTGTTTCCACCGAAGCACTTACAAACACTGCGGCTCACCTCCACACACCGCAGGTTCACCTCCAAACACAGCAGGTTCACCTCCAAACACTGCAGGTTCACCTCCAAACAAACACCGCAGGTTCACGTCCAAACACTGCAGTTAACCTCCAGACACCGCGGTTCACCTCCAAACACTGCGACTTACCTCCAAACACCACAGGTTCAGCTCCAAACACAGCAGGTTCACCTCCAAACACTGCGGCTTACCTCCAAACACCACAGGTTCACCTCCAAACACTGCGGCTTACCTCCAAACACCGCAGGTTCACCTCCAAACACAGCAGGTTCACCTCCAAACAAACACCACAGGTTCACGTCCAAACATTGTGGTTCACCTCCAGACACTGCGGTTCACCTCCAAACACCACAGGTTCATGTCCAAACACAGCAGGTTCACCTCCAAACACTGTGGTTCACGTCCAAACACTGCAGGTTCACCTCCAAACAAACACCGCAGGTTCACCTCCAGACACCGCAGGTCACCTTCAGACACAGCAAGTTCACCTCCAGACACTGCAGCTTACCTCCAAACACCGCAGGTTCACCTCCAGACACAGCAGGTTCACCTCCAAACAAACACAGCAGGTTCACCTCCAAACAAACACAGCAGGTTCACCTCCAAACAAACACAGCAGGTTCACCTCCAAACAAACACAGCAGGTTCACCTCCAAACAAACACAGCAGGTTCACCTCCAGACACAGCAGGTTCACCTCCAAACAAACACCACAGTTCACCTCCAGACACCGCAGGTTTACTTCCAGACACCGCAGGTTCACCTCCAGACACCACAGCAGGTTCACCTCCCAGGTTCACCTGCGAACACCACAGTTCACCTCCAGACACCGTGGCTCACCTCCTGACACCACGGCTCACCTCCAGACACCGCAGGTTCACCTCCAGACACAGCAGGTTCACCTCCAGACACACCATGTTCACCTCCAAACACCACAGGTTCACCTCCAAACAAACACCACAGTTCACCTCCAAACAAACACCACAGTTCACCTCCAGACACCGCAGGTTCATCTCCGGACACTGCAGGTTCATCTCCGGACACTGCAGGTTCACCTCCAGACACCGCGGCTCCCCTCCAGACACTGCAGGGTCACCTCCAGACACTGCGGCTCGCCTCCAGACACCGCGGCTCGCCTCCAGACGCCGTGGGTTCACCTCCAGACACAGCAGGTTCACTTTTCTCCAGGCAGTTTGTTTAGGGCTTTGACATCAGGAAGTTCCTTTTGCTTTTCCGTATTTCTTTCTGTTCTGCAACCATAAGAATTGCCCACATTTTTGCCCTACAGACTGCTGAGTGCCTCAACATGGCCATGAAATCTCTTGTTAGCTGTCTCCTCTATAAAGATTCTCATGCTTTTCCAGGCATTTAAAAATATTTACTGAGGCCAGGTGCAGTGGCTCACTGTAATCCCAGCACTTTGGGAGGCCAAGATGGGTGGATCACTTAAGGTTAGTAGTTCAAAACCAGCTTGGCCAACATGATGAAACCCCGTCTCTACTAAAAATACAAAGATTAGCTGCATGCTGTGGTGAGCGCCCGCAGTCCCAGCTGCTCTGGAGGCTGGGGCAGGAGAATCACTTGAACCCAGGAGGTGGAGGTTGCACTGAGCTGAGATCGTGCTGTTGCACTCTGGCCTAGGCCACAGAGTGAGACCCTGTCTCAAAAAAAAAAAAAAATTACTGAATATGTGTCACATGTAAAGCATTGTGCTAGGTGTTTTAGTTGCTAAAATGACAGTCATAGAGTCTGTCCTCAATATGTCACAGTTTAGTAGGACAAAGATCTGTCTTGCATTAGCTAGGACAAGGTGAAATGGCTGCTGCAGAGTCCTGACCAGGTCCCAGCACCAACCAGATGCAGTGCAGGTCTGGGAGGTGTTTGGGGGCCTGAGCTGTGCGCCGGGGGTTACCAAAGCCCAGGTCCTTCCCGTCCTGTTCTCACCACAGCCCAGGTGGGGTGTGGCCTTTGCCTCTGCAGTTGAAGCTGGGTCTCTACCGTATTGGGGCTCAGCTGGGGCAGTCAGATGGAGCTGGTAGGTGTGCAGGCCTGGGCATGGCACACATCATGCTTGCTTCTGTTCCTGTGGCAGAAACTTAGTGAGATCCCTGGGGGTGGGATTGTGCAATCTGGTTGTGTGTCCAGAAGCCAGGACAGGGGGAGGATGGCTCTGGAGGACAAGTCACACTCTCCACCACTGACAGAACTGAGGAGCCTGGAATGAAAGTGCTGAGGACGCTGAGGCTCTCAGAGGCAGCATTCCAGGGACCCGTGGGAACGGGAGATTTTGGTAACTCAGGGGAGACATGAATGAGAGCAGGAACATGCAAGGGTGGGGTCGGGACTCGGGCTCCTGCAGCTGGGCAAGGCTGAGAGGACTGTGGCAATGGCCAGGACAGGGACGGGGAAAGGGAGACCTCCGTCTTGTGGAGTGAGGACTTTGTGAAGAGGGTGATTCATTTCCCAGGGCTGCTATGACAAAGGGCCACAGCAGGTGGCTTAAAGCATCAGAAACCTGTTCCCTCTCATTTGTGGAGGCCAGAAGCCGGCAATCAAGGTGTGTGTGGGCAGGGCTGCGTTCTCTCCAAAGCCCCCACGGAAGGTTCTTCCTCACCTCTCCCAGCTTCTGGTGCCATGGGCAGTCCTCCGCTTGGGGTTTCTCTGCCCACGTCTTTGCAGCGTGGCTGTCCTCTGCATCTGTGTCTGTATCTCCGTGGCCTTCTCCCCGTGCCCGTCTCCTCTTCTTATAAGGGCAGTTGTGCTGGATATATCTGAGTGGGGCCCCCCGGTGAAGTATGACCCCATCCTAACTTGATGACACCTGCAGAGACCCTATTTCCAAATTAAGTCGCATTCCCAGGGAACTGCAGTGAGGAGTTTAACATCTTTTGCAGGGACAAACGTAAACCCTCAACAAGAGGAGAGCGGACTTCAGGCGGGAAGGACGGTTGACAGGCAAACCTGTGTTCGCGGCTGAGGAGTTCAGACTGTGCTCCTTAGGCCACGGGCTCTCAGTTCTGACCGTTCATCAGAACTGCCTAACAAGCTTCTTAAGATGCAGACATCAGATTCCACCCAAACTTACGGAATTGGTCGTCCTAGGATGTGAAACCTTTAAAGCTCCATGGGTTTCCGACACGTAGCCTGGGTTGAGAGCCACTGCTCTGGCTAGTGAGCGCCTCGGGAGAGGTTTTCATTTCTTGTGATACCAGTTTTAGGACAGCCTGCAGCTTTGAGCAAATACACCATAAATAACATTATGACATAATATCACAGTACAACATAAATACATACTTATATGCGTTTTCTAAGTTGCCATCGTAAAAGGTGACCCTTTGAGTTGAGCATAATCCTCAAGATGCTGGGGGACGACTGCTCATCCTGCTCCCTGTGCGTCCTCGGGGAATGCAGGACAGGCTCGTGGTCCTTCTCCTGGAGCCAGAACTGCTCGTGGTCCCCTGTTGAGTCTGTGGTCTGTTAAAACTCCTCCCACATCTTCTGCACATGGGGGGCTAATAAATCTAGGATTTCCCTCTCCACTACTTGCACAGTTGATTTTTCGGAGCCCGAACGCAGGCCTTGACATATCTCTCTGTTTAATTTCGTCCTGTGGTTTAGTCAAGTGTTCTGGCCTGTCTAGTCTGAGGCTGTCATTTTTCACGTCAGCGCCGTCTCATAAATTTGTCATCTGCACATTTGATAAACACGTCTTTTCTGACTTCACCCAAATTGCTGAAAAACAAGCTAACCGTGTCGCAGGGAGAGACGTACGCTATTCCTCCACAGACGGCTCTCCTTTGGAAAGTACTCTTCGGGAGTGGAGTTCCTGAATCAGCTGTCACACTGAACAAATGCCCAGTCACGCCGTACTGCATTCTCAGAGCGCTCCTTCGACACGTCAGTCATCTGGGAAGTGCTGCGAAGGCACCATTAGTCCTTGAAGGATGTGACAGGAAGAGCAATGAGGGGAGGCAAGGTGAGCAGGACTGTGAACACATCACTGGGTCTGCACCAAGAGCACTCTGGCCACAGACAAAGAATCTTCATTGCCAACTCTGACCTGAAAGCAATGAAGTAACACATGAGTCACCTAAGCACCATGCGTTCGTTTCCAATAAATGAATTCAAAGCGCTAACATGGTACCATCTTGGAAGCAAAAAGCTAAAGTAAAAAAATGGCATTAATGTGGCTGTAATTCCAAACTCTACTTAAGTTCTGTAAAATACCCGGACTGTTCAGTCCCACTCACAAAACCTTGATTGAACCCCTGCTCTCTATTTAGCATGGTGCTGGGTACTTGAGAATATACCAATGTGTGGGCATATGGGAAAGGAAGGGCATTAGGAATGTGGGGTGGGGTGAGCAGAGCCCCACCTGCCCGGCTGTGCGGATGCATGAGGGACTCCCTCCTCCCAAGCAGACGCACCTGCTGCTTCAAGGCTGATGCTGCAGTTTACTGGCTGTGTTTCCTCCGTCAGGTTAGTTAGCTTCTCTGGGCCTCATTCTAGCCATCATGGCTGTCTTCAACTATATGAATATTCTAGTTAAATGTCGACGATCAATAGAGGCCTAACAAACAAAACCCTGAGAACAAAATGAGAAGCATGAAGACAGTCTAACTTAGGAGAGAGCCTAACGAATAATAGCCGTAAGGAGACTTACTTCCTGATTTTGATAACTGCGCCGTGGTTATGCATTACTTCAGGAGACTGGGTGGAGGACACAGGGGAATGCTTTCTGCAATTTTTGCAACCCTTTTTAAATGTGTGACTATTTCAAAATGGAGTTAAAGAAATGCACGTGTCTATCCCACTCCGTAAGAGCTGAAATCCTAAGTGGGGAAACAGCAGGTGCAAACATGAGACCATCCCAGAAGAAGAGGAGGAGGTGCTGTGGTGCCCGCGCTGGCATGGGCAGAAAGGCTGCAGACAGTAGGAGCTGAGGGAGCCACAGACCTTCTAGAGCTCCCTTGTGAGATGCCTCGATTCCTTTCAAGGTCATAGTCAGCCTTCCCTTGGACAGAATGATTGCCCAAGACCCTTTTTACTTGATGGAGACCACAGCACAATTCCCCTTTGGGAATTGGGGAGGGTGAGGCATGACACTTCCACGCAAGAGGATGAGAGCCTTGCCTCAGGGTGGGCTGGTGAGCAGCAAAGGTGATAAGAAGAACCTGACCACACTCAGTGGCCAGGCTCGGCATTCCATTGGCTTTTCTTGCCACTGAGGGCACTGGGCGTAGCAGCCCTGCTGTGGTCTTATGTGGAAGGTCAGTGGATTCTCTGTGGCCATCTCCACTTTGGTTGGAGAGTGCTGGGGAATGAAGAGGGGGAGTTGGCCTTCTCTGGAGAGGTCCCTCGTGGGTCAGGGCGAGCGAGGGAGACACAGACACTCACAGGAGACAGAGGAGCTGGGAACACAAACATGGAGCTCTGAGCCCTGCAGAAGGGAAGCCGCAGAAGGGAGAGCGCATACACCCATGCCTTGGGGTGGCACACCTCCAGCATGCCAGCTGCCATGACACCTTCTGGTAAGGACATATGGTCACAGGGCTCACACTCAGTGGCCAGGCTCGGCATTCCCTTGGCTTTTCTTGCCACTGAGGGCACTGGGCATAGCAGCCCTGCTGTGGTCTTATGTGGAAGGTCGGTGGATTCTCTGTGGCCATCTCCACTTTGGTCGGAGAGTGCTGGGGAATGAAGAGGGGGAGTTGGCCTTCTCTGGAGAGGTCCTTCGTGGATTGCTGTCCATGACCTCCTCCCACATCCCTGGAACTCTCACCTCACTGAAAGCTGCTTAACAGATGTTTGGAAAGGCCCTTTGAAACGTCTCCAACACTGGACAGAAATTCCAGCCCTTTAAGGAATGCCATGGGTGACGCGATTGGAATGCACAGAGGACTCAAAATCCTCTCTGCGGGTTTCAGCCACGAGTCTCACAAAATGTGTAAGATCTTTCTGTTTTAAAAAGATGGTCTACTGGGAAGAAAATGCTAGTGAGGTTGTGGGAAAATTCGTCTGGTTTCTTGCAGAATTTGAGAGAGTGGAGACCAACCTGGGCAGGGATAATGAGAAAACCCAAGGCACTGCTCAGACCCGCCCCCGTGGGAACCACAGCAGGGGTTCTTTGTAAATTCTGGATATCAGCCCTTTGTCAGATGGGTAGACTGCAAAAATTTTTTCCCATTCTGTTGGTTGCCGATTCATTCTAGTTACTGTTTTTTTTGCCCTGCAGAAGCTGTGGAGTTTGATTAGGTCTGATTTGTCTATTTTGGCTTTTCTTGCCAATGCTTTTGGTGTTTTGTTCATGAAGTCCTTGCCTACTCCTATGTCCTGGATGGTTTTGCCTAGATTTTCTTCTAGGGTTTTTATGGTGTCAGGTCTTATGTTTAAGTCTTTAATCCATCTGGAATTAATTTTAGTGTAAGGTGTCAGGAAGGGGTCCAGTTTCTGCTTTCTGCACATGGCTAGCCAGTTTTCCCAACACCATTTGTTAAACAGGGAATCCTTTCCCCATTGCTTGTTTTTGTCAGGTTTATCAAAGATTGTATAGTTGTAGATATGTTGTGTTGCCTCCGGTGCCTCTGTTTTGTTCCATTGGTCTATATCTCTGTTTTGGTACCAGTACCATGCTGTTTTGATTACTGTAGCCTTGTAGTATAGTTTGAAATCCGGTAGTGTGATGCCCCCCGCTGTGTTCTTTTTGCTTAGAATTGACTTGGCTATGCGGGCTCTCTTTTCTGTTGTAAGAAGAGGGTGCCGACAAACCCAGCAGCTTCTAATGAGGCCCACGCACCCTCAGGAGGATAAAAATGGAGGGTTTAAGGCAGGAGTGAAAAACAGCAAAGCCCACCGTCGTAGAGGGCAGTGGTTTATTGTTTGTCACTCTCTCTCCCGTGACTCTCCAGCTAACACTTTCCATCTGGAGAAAGGGAATGCTGTTGACGAAGGGTCGGGTCACCTTCCTGTCTTTCTCCTCGGTGGGGTCTTTCCAGTGATTGCTGCCATCAAGTGGGAAAGAGAAGCAGCAGGTTCTGTGCTGAGGAAAGTCTCCAGGTGATTTTATTTGCATGATGACAACACAGAGACCCTGGTTTCTGTCTAAATGACTCTAAATGACATTCAGCTAAAGTCACACAGGATGAGGGTGGAGTGAGGGAGGAGTCACTGAGAAATGAGTGAGGGGTGCAAAGGAGTGAGGGAGGGAGGAGGGAAGGAGGAGAGAGGGAGGAGTGAGGGAGGGAGGAGTGAGGGAGGGAGGAGTGAGGGAGGAGCGAGGGAGGAGGGAGGGAGGGAGGAGTGAGGGAGGAGCGAGGGAGGAGCGAGGGAGGGAGGAGTGAGGGAGGAGTGAGGGAAGAGTGAGGGAGGAGTGAGGGAGGAGTGAGGGAGGGAGGAGTGAGGGAGGGACGTAGGGATGAGGGAGGAGTGAGGGAGGGAGGAGTGAGGGAGGAGTGAGGGAGGGAGGAGTGAGGGAGGAGCGAGGGAGGAGTGAGGGAGGGAGGAGTGAGGGAGGGACGTAGGGATGAGGGAGGAGTGAGGGAGGGAGGAGTGAAGGAGGAGTGAATGAGGGAGGAGTGAGTGAGGCAGGGATGAGGGAAGGGTGAGGGAGGAGTGAGGGAGGAGAGAGGGAGGAGCGAGGGAGGAGCGAGGGAGGAGTGAGGGAGGAGTGAGGGAAGAGTGAGGGAGGAGAGAGGGAGGAGCGAGGGAGGAGTGAGGGAGGAGCGAGGGAGGGAGGAGTGAGGGAGGGAGGAGTGAGGGAGGAGTGAGGGAGGGAGGAGTGAGGGAGGGACGTAGGGATGAGGGAGAAGTGAGGGAGGGAGGAGTGAGGGAGGAGTGAGGGAGGGAGGAGTGAGGGAGGAGTGAGGGAGGGAGGAGTGAGGGAGGGATGTAGGGATGAGGGAGGAGTGAGGGAGGGAGGAGTGAAGGAGGAGTGAATGAGGGAGGAGTGAGTGAGGCAGGGATGAGGGAAGGGTGAGGGAGGAGTGAGGGAGGGAGGAGTGAGGAGCGAGCGGGGCATGAGGGAGGGAGGGAGGAGGAGTGGGGAGTGACGAAATAACTGACGCCGTCCTCAGCCTCTTGGGTTTCCTGCAGGAATCCTCCTGTGCTGCTTTAGTCTAGAGGATCCATAGAGCTTTGGAGCAGAGTCACAGTCCTGTCATGGAGGACACTTGAGGGGCAACAGAAGGAGTGTTTCTGAGCTCGTTATTTTTTGCTGCCAAGAATGGGAGAGGCTTAGGGAAGTGCTGGTTTATGCGCATTTTCTAATGTGTGCCTGGATGGGGTTAGCAGCTCTAAAATATCCCCTCAAGATGGCAGGATGCTTGCTGGGTTCCCTGAGTGCAGCTGCAAGCCTGGAGATGTCCCCCGTGAGCCCAATGGAGTGGCAGAGCCAATCGCTCCTCTCCTGTGGAAGCTGGCACCGTTTACCAAGAAGCCCGAGAACGTCCTCCTTAGGGACACGCTGCATGTGAGCGCAGATTGGGAAACACTAGCCACAGCGTGCTTCGTGGAAGCGACAGTTGGTGCG